ACTCAAAAAAATTAATGAATGCGTAAATTTATTTTATTGATTTAATCAGGAACTACAAAACCGAATGCTTTGAAATCTTGCAGATGTTTTAAGGTTATAAAGAGCATAATCAATTTTTAGTCAAAATATATTTGGTTATCTTCTACAAAAAACTGATGACGTCAGCTCAAAAGTTTGCCGAATAAATCGTATTTAAAATGTACAAAATATGATGAGTCTGTACTTGTGATTTATCATTCCATTCATATTTTTGGATTTGCATATGCAGGGTGACTCAAAAAAATTAATGAAGGCGTGAATTTATTTTATCGATTTAATCAGGAATTACAAAACCGAATGCTTTGAAATCTTGGGAATATTTTAAAGTTATTATAAGCATGGTAAACTTTTTTTCAAAATGTATTTGTTCATCCCTCCTAAAAAAATTGATGACGTCACCCTTAAATTTTGCTGAATAAATCCTATCTAAAATGCAAAAAATATGATGAGTTTGTACTTGTGATTTATCATTCCATTCATATTTTTTAGATTTTCTTAAGAGGTGGTTCAAAAAAATTAATGAAGTCAATGTATTTTATTGATAAAATTAAAGGCAACACTTATTATTAGTATTACACCCCAATCAACCCAATTTGGTAGACACAAAATTTGTTAAAGGAAAAACTCGGTTGAAACATAAGGGTAGCACGCTTATTTGCATCGACTTTAACATTACAGACCTGCATTTGTTTTATGCGCTCACTTGGTTCCGCGAATGTGAAATAGACATGTTTATAATCAACCAATTGTGAATTTCACCGTCAAGAATTAAAATAAAACCCAATGTTTTATATAATAAGCGGAAGTCGAAGCAATAAAACCGATGGTCGTTTTGTTTACAGTTTCTCTGTTTGACTCTCACGTATGTTGTTACGCTTGTCATCTTAAATTAAGAATGTTTATACATAAACGATTTTCAGTTGCCTTTCATATTACTAGACAGCGGATTTTTGTCGGGCTACGTCACGATTATAGGTGGGGACGCGCTGGATCGCCGGGACTCAGTAGCGGGTGATAGATAATCACTGAATTTAATCAATACTAATTCCATAAATATAATTAACGATTGATTAATCAAACGGCTAAGTAAATGAGAACGGGAATTAACAGCAGAGTGCAACGAAACAGCGTTATTCTAATCTCAAATAAACGAAGTGCAGTCCGCAACCGCTATGAATTCGCATCCCGTACGAGCCGTACCGAGTTTGGTCTTGCCTAGCCCGACAGAAATCCGCTCTCTAGATATTACACACCGGCGCCGTATACGTGAGTAAATTGTTTCGTTATTTTATTGATTATAAGAAATCAATATTCAAAACGACCCAATTCATTTTCCCGAAAATTTGGGAAAACAATAATTTTATTCTTAGTATTACACTACATCTATCCCAACTGATATACGTGTCCTTGCAAAAATGTTGATGACGTCATCACAATTTTTTTTTAAATTCCCACTACAAAAATGTAATGAGAAAAAAAGACACAATAGGCATGCAGTCGTCAAGTTTCCGACAGCGAGGGAAGTACTGTCTAAACTCTTTAGACCAATTTTTTTTTTCTAACTTTAGTGACATATAAATGACTATTTCCTTCAGAAAATTTCGATATTTTGATCAATTCACCCAACAACGGTGTAATATTGGTGGGTATTTGAGGCACCATGCAAATATCCAAGTATTCACTTTTATGCAAATTACAATTTGAACAATAATAATAATTAGAAAAACTACAATTATTATACCAATTACTGGCAGCATCCGAAGCAGCATTTGGAGTGAAAGTTGTTGAAACATTACTGTAAACAAGGTTTACTTATTTGTGCAATTAAATTTTCATGATGGCTTTCATCACTTTAAATTGGAGTTTATTGAAGAGACATTGTCGTGTCCGATTATTTTGATTATTTCATGTTCTCCTACCCTACGTTTAGCGAGAATGGTTACAACCATTGAACGGTTAGAATAATTCGTTACAGTGTATAGTGTAATATAAAAAAACTGATTACAATTGATGTTAAATTACTTCAAGAGGACCTTGGGAAATTTGTAGAATGGTGTGATTCTAATAATTTGGAATTAAATATTGAGAAATGTAAAGCTATTAGACTTTCCACGAAAAAATTGTTAGATCCTCCAATATATTTTATAAAAGATCGGAAACTAGAAACTACCCTTTCAGTAAATGACTTAGGTGTAACTTTCTCCTCCAAATTGGACTTCAGTATCCATATTGACAATATTGCCAATAAAGCAAATAAATTGCTCGGTCTTCTTATTCGACAGGGCACATCTTTTATAATCTTAGGACCTCTATAATTTTGTCTTGCTCTCTTGTACGCTCCGTGTTGGAATATTGCACAGTAATTTGGTCTTCTTATCATTTAGTTAAGATCGAAACTTGAGCAGATACAGAGTCGTTTTATAAAATTTTTATGTTTTAAATTTAATGTTGACTTTAAGCCAAACAACTACGTCAATCTCCTACAATTCTTTCGCTTGGCTCTCTTAGAATCTCGTAGAACTTACTTCGACCTCTATTTTATGTTCAAGATTTTAAATAATATATGTAGTTGTACCAATCTTTATTCATTGTTTAATTTTTATGTTCCGGCTCGGAACGTCAGAAACCCGATTCTGTTTGATGTGCCATTTCATCGCACAAATTATTCTTCAAAGTCTGTCATTCCTAGACTGTCGAACTTAGCAAATAAATACCGCCGTGACATTAGCCTTTTTTATGTGTCTAGTTTTATATTTAAGCGCTCAGTGCGTACAACACTGAAAATGTAATTACCTACATGTTGTGTAATGGTGAATCCGTTAATAAATCAATTATTATTAAAAAATGCGGGGTCGTCGTCTCTGTGTGTACGAGACAAAAGCTGACAAAAGTTTCCTTAATTGTAGATGTAATAATTACACAGTGGAACAATTTTAGAAAAAATTCTTGTTACAAGCATTCTGAAAATGTATTCTGAAAGGTTATTATGTGCTGAATAACTATCTAATAAGACATTATGCCTAGGTTGTCAAAAAAAAATTTTTTTGGAAGTTGTTCATAGATAGTTCCAGTTAAAGTTCATATTGCACATAAACTGTAGATTCTTTTGTATGTTTGTGTTTCACTCATAATTAAGTTGTTTCACAATTATATAATTAATTAATTCTTATTTTGTTAATTGCATTATAGTATGTAGGTATTATACAATGTGTTGTCCTATAAATGGTGTATACTGTTTGGCAATAAATGCTATTACTATTATTATTATTATTATTATAAAGGTGTACTATTGCATAATGGAAATAAATATCTAGTACTGCCGACCACATATCTATACAAACTGCAGAAACATATGGAGAATATTCAACACTTGTTAAACGATAAAAAAATTGAGTGCAATTTGATAGGCGATTTAAAAATTGTAGCTTTAGTAACTGGCTTCCAATCTGGATATACCAATCATTTGTGCTTCTTATGCAAGTGAAATACAATAGAGAAAGCATTTCAACATCTGAAAACAATATTTCCTAAGCTTTCTGCTGCTATAACATAAACCAAGGTAAAAACTAAAAGATTACAGTGAATTTCAGTTTTCATATTATGTACGTTTTCTGTATTTAGGAATTTTCATTGGGCTTGAAATTCAATGAACGTTCAAATGTTCTACGCCTATTTGAATGATACGGAAAAATTTACTTGGGAATCAATTGGCTTAGTGATCAGTGAATTTTTAGGAAACAAATGTTCCACAAATTATGTCTCTTTTAAATTTCTTTGCTGATAATCTTTTCATCGAGAAATCAAGAAAGTCGAAGAAAGATTTAAGAGAAAAACCCATGCATTCATTCTTTACGAATACATGAGGCTTTTATAAAGAGTTAGATCCTTCTACATAAGGTATTCTAGACCGCTTAAATATTCGTAGACGTAATTAAATATCTAGCGACAGAAATTTGTGAAACATTTTTTAAGTGCTTCTTGCGCGTCTATGTAAAATTAGAATTAACTTCATTTTTTCTAATTGTTCACCGGACGAACATAAAAATTTGAATAATTTTTTTTTGACGACATGGGTATTATTATCTCTTTTAAGAGTTTTTCAGCACAACATTACCTTTCCGGCCATGTTTAGAAAATATATGTAACAAAAACACTGTTCTACTGTGTTATTTTACCTTTAAAAAATGAAACCTACCGTTTGTAAATAAAAATTTGAAACTAGTGTTATCATTTTTAAGTAAATGTCAAATCTGATAATTTTGCACTAGCGCAAAATATGAATAATTTACACTAGTGCAAAATTATCGTTGAAACTTAATTCTTATTGGTCGTCATGCAGAAATGTAAATGATTTCATTGGATCAATTCTTTGAAGGAAATAGTCTTCGTAGTCCCTCATCCCATAATGTTTGTTCTGTTTTTCTTCAAACAGAATTGAAGCAATACGTTTCCTTTTGTCCCCAATGATTTCCAATTGCCGTCGTTTCCCATCTCGGGCACTTCTGGCGTCTTTTAAGGCCATATCTTTAAAAAGATCGAAAGTTATTCCAAATTCCTTGTACAATTTTTTGTAGGAGTTTACCATTCCTGTTCCATTGGTTTTCACTACCCCTTTGTAGTGGAGTCTGTCTTTTCTGCTCATCATATTAAATGCAAAATCGTCGCGGTCAAACCGTTAAACAGAGGAAGGGAACACCCGTTTTTATTTACAATCTTTTTTTATTAATATGTATTTTTGTCATATCTTTTATTTTTTAAAAACAAGTTAAAGCAAAACTATTTTTTAATATTTATGTATTACGCGTTACCTTATTTGAATGGTGCGCTAATTTTGTAGAGAAGTGTATAAAATTTGTGTTTGATTTTTTGTTGTTTTTAATGGTTGTTTTGTGAACAGTTGGTTTATAAGAAAAATATTTACCAATGGATTCATTTCTGATACACAGTATTTATATTTGTAGAGTGTCGATTTAAATGTGTTAGAAGATATTATTCATTGTTTAACAACATCTATGGATATATGGCTAAGAGAAAAAAACACTCAAGACAATCCTTCAATATCCTGGAAACAAATTAACAAATTATTTCAAAATTTGTACAAAGTAACAAGCGATATCTGTTTGCACAGTGCTAAAATTCGACTGAAATTTAGTTGCTATAAGCTTTTAAAATATGTCCTGTTTAAATTTTTAACTGGAGATATGATATTTTCTGTAACAGATGGAAACTTATGTGATTTTGATAAATTACCTGAAGACGTGGAATCTTGGCCAAAGTCAGACAATGATATATTTTTTTGTATTTGTCATATATGTGTCGACAATAGTAGGTAAGTGATGGTTCTGAAAAATAAGCTGCTTATATCTATACTTACATGTATTAACATAATTTTAGGTTAATCTGGAAACAGGAAGATGTTTTTCACGCAATTATGAGATGCTTTTACAACAGAAGGCATTTTGTTAAAACGTTTGTTTTGAAATCTATCTATTACTTATATCCAAAACTCATGAATAAGACCATTGATGTTAGTACGAGAACTTTAGGAGACGATTTGCTCAATTATTTTGAAAAACTATGTTCAGCGTCTTACCTGTATTCTTATAACAGTCATCAGTTAAAGTGGGTGTTAGATCAAGCTTCAAAATCTGTAAAATTAACAGTTTTGACCCAATGGATGTATGCTATGGAATACAATGAATCACTTGAGGATATATTAATTTCGACTATCAAAAGTTGTAATTCTGAAGTTTATTTACTACAACTGATGATGAGCAATAATACATCCGGAAACATAATTGGCTTGAAGTACTGAAGTTATACACTGTATATTTTTGTTCTAGTTGATTTTACTTTCCAGATCAATGATGCTTTTACGAAAAATTACATGTTCTGAAGTTTCGAGATTCATAACATGTCTACTTCCTTTAACTATTCTTGAAAAGCCTGGTAGTTTCCATAATCTACTGCTTGCTAAACCTGGTATAACCTTAAATTCTCGCCATTCAGCTTTAATTTGTTCATTGATGGGGGCTATTTTACCAAATCTCACTGATACGTCGGTCTTGAAAAGTGCATGCATCTTCAGCAGCAAACTTTTATTGAGTAAAAAAATGGAATCGTACGCAATTCGCGGATTTTGTCGTAATGTTACAAACATTCGACAAATTATTGATAAAACCAATCATGTTGATGATGAAACAGGGGTTGAAATTATAAAACTTTTGAAGGCAATAGTTGTAGTGCAGGTGAACCGTTTTAAATAACTTAGAATTTATCATTGAAGTTTTTTTTTGTTTTAGAAACGAAATAATGTTCAGTTGGAATATTACCTGAAAGAAGATTTTAGAAATTTTGTGAAGGGTTCAGTTGAAAAAATTAACAGAAGCTTGTGGCTTCTTTACTATACAATGATTTATAAATATTCTATAATAATACCCGACGAAAGTTGTGTACTTGACATTTACCACTTGCTTTTGGATCATAGTTTAAATTCTGCTTTACAAGATGTAGCTTTCCGATGTTTGATAGTATTGTTGAAACGAAAGCCCTGGTTGGCTCAGACCATCAGTAGCGCTGTTTTCGTTGAAACCGTATGTTTATCGTTGACAAATGACACTTTTAAAGCAAATGTATTTAAAATGTTAAATATTTGGCTTCAACTTATTAGAAAAGAACCTTATAATGGATTTTGTGCTATACCAGAAACTGCAATAAGAAGTTTTGTTATGAGGAATGGTGCAATAAATCAAAATGTAAGTATAATTTCAGTGTAAAATAATTTCTGATTTAACTTTAAAGATATTATAACATTTTAGAAAGAAGAATATTTTGTAATTTTGGATGATTTAACGAAAAAACAAAACTATGAAGTTGAAAGCAATAGTTGTAGTGCTAAATTTGCTTCATTCAAGTAACAAGTTTTATATTGTTCATATTGTAGGTGCATAGTCTTATTATTAATGAGAATATTACTAGCATTTCGTGTGTTTTAGATGTATTTGTAAACATTGTCTTGCTATAGTTAATTAAGAATAAATTTACAGATAATATTGTTCAATTAAATTGTTGCAGTAAAATGAATAATTTTGATACATACAAATGCAGAAGTTCATATTTTATTAATTTTACAATAAGTGGTAATACTGCAGGTTTTCGCTAGTTTAGAAGTAAATTGTAACATTGCTGACAAGTTTGTCATATCTGTGCAGCCGATTTGACTAACCCTACGCTTCCGTGATAATACTGTCGGCTTTTCAGTAATAGCTGTGCAAGAAAAATTGTTTGTATTCTCATGAAACCATTTTTTTGAATCCGAAATAATCCAGTGAGAAAAATCATCACTTACGTTGATATTTATTTACGTCAAATTCAGGGCAGTAGTACCATCCAAAGGTTGACAGACAACGCTAACTCTATTTCATTTTATTTTTGAACCTATAGTATATATTTTTGTAAGTTGCATTAAGAAGCATTTTCCGCAACACGTAGTTTTTACAGAGGTTTTTAATGGTTGAAAAAAAAAACAAAGAGTGAAATATGATTATTTACATTTTATTTACGAATTTTCTTTATAAAAGTTGCGAGTAGGTAATTTTCAATTCTTTATCATAAGACGATTTGGTAAACTAGTATCGAGTATCTTGCAATCACCTACACGAATTGAATGTATGTATACGATAAAGTTGGCACTACTTTAGCCTGCGTATAAAATGTCTTAAATAATTATTTTCTTAATCGTAGAACAATCTTAAGCTCAAATTAATAATAAGTACCTTCTTAACCAAGCAAACAAGGAATTTAATGGTCTATTATAGAACAGTCGTATTTACAAAAGTTTTCCTAATAACATAGGTAAAGATATTTAATTTCATATTTTTAGGAAAAAGATAATTCAAGGAATAAAATAAATAATTTTTAAAATATGACATTACTTTTGAATAATTGCGACAAAAACAATCAATTTAATAAGTTTTTATAACTGAAAACCTTTACGTGAATCTTCTTCCTTCGTTGTATGCCATGATACTATGGTTTTCAATTATTTATCAGCCTTAATGGTGAGCAGCAGGTCTTGTCGCTAACCTTCTTCTACCGGCAAGTAATTTATTTAGACCCCTTGGTTCCTCGGTAGTTGTACTAGAGGCTACTGGTGCTTCCGTTTCTTCGTTTTCTTCTACTTCAGCACCTTCTGTGCTAGCAGATTCTTGGGGAGCTTCACTAGATGGAGCTTCTGTAGACTGACCTGGTCTTCTTCGGGCAATCAAGGGATTAACACGTCGAACTTGTACAGGTGTACTTGCAGCTGCTTTAGGACGAGCTTGAACGTTAATTCGATGTTTATTTCTTAGTCTGCCTAAAGGACTATTGTCTACTGGTGCAGGAGAAGTTTCAGGTTCCTGTAAGTCCAAATATTTGTATGGAAATAGATTGGATTTAAATAAAAATGTTTTACCTTTTCTTCGGAATTTTCCGTAGTATCTTTTGTAGGTTGTTCCTCATCTCCGGTTATATGGTCTTCAATAGGTTCTTCAGTAGTCGTTGTAGTTGTTTGTCCTGGTCGCCCTCTAGCTAAATTAATGCGAGGTCCAGGTCTCAAGGGTCTTACCGCTCCTCCAGTTTGTACCCTTCTAGTTCTAGCAGTAGTACTAACTGCTTCTGAGCTGGATGCAGTTTCTTCGTTCTGTGAAGATTCATCTTCAGTTGCTGGAGTTGTAGTACGTCCTCGAGTTCTTAAATTAAAGGAGGAGCGAGGTCTTGTTAGAGAAGGTTTGGATGATGGAGTAGCAGTACTACTTGCAGCGTCTTCGGGGGCATCAGAAGGAGCAGTTGTGGTACGAGTTCTTGACCTAGTGCCGCCAAATCTAGATCGACTTAAAGTAGGCTGCAATAAATGCAAGTAAGATTAAAATTCTGGTTAAACAATAAGATAAGTGTTAATTTAGTGGTGCACCATTTTTATTTTAATGTTTATTTTCAAGAATGCTTATGAGGAAGTTTGTTATCAAAATATGTAACACTGTGTTATTAAATACGAAACAAAACTGATAGTTCATTTCTATATATGATACGACTTTTTTTACCCTTGAATGACTAGCTGGCTTTACTTCTTCTTTAGAAGCATCTTGTTCGGCTGCAGGTTCTGGAGTAGTTCTTGCACTTGGTCGGGGTCTTCCTCCAAAACTTGGTCTACTAAATTTACTTTTTGGTTTTGTTTCAGCGTGGGTAGCTTCAGTAGTTGACGCAGCGTGTGTTGTTTTTCTTCCTCTTCCTTTAAATCTTCCCCTACCAACTGGTGCAGCTTCAGTAGTAGTAGTTGTTGTTGTTGTAGTAGGAGCTGGAGTTGTAGTGGTGGTAGTAGTGGTAGTAGTAGTGGTTGGCGTTGTTGTTTCTATGATTTCTTCAGTAGTAGCTTCCAACGTAGTCAATTCTGTATCACTATCTGTAGTATTTTCTTCATCGTCTAGCTCTCCATCTTCTCCTGAAAGTTTCTGCGTTCCTTGTAGAATTGCGTAAAGATCTAATGCAACTTTATCCATTGGAGACATTGCTGTTGTTGTGTCTTCTGACGTTTCAGTTGCAGTTTCTTCTTTTTTTACTTCTGCTGTGTTACCGGATGAGCTGATGGGTTCCTATAAAAATTAATTATACGTTATATCTTAACTTTAATTTTCAACTATGCTTGTACTATACTGCGTTACAAAAAAATCCAAACCCATACGACATGTTTATGAAATAATACATCATTAAAATTACTCCCGACGATAATATAATTATTAATAGCGCAAAATAGGTGAGGTGTTAAAAAATATAGAGTAAATTACGGAGAGACGCCACGATGGGAGAGATGCAACATACGTTGTATATCCGAAGTAGTGAAGGAAGGACGTGTGTCGTGTGGTTGGTGTGCAAACATTTTTTGTCATAAAAATTTCAGAGAAAATTTTAGAATGGCATTTATTTCGTAAATATAATTGAATGTGTTAAAATGACTCCACGAAAACTGCTCCTTGTATGTAGCAAACTGTAATGACTGTGAGAGAGGACCTTTAAGTGAGAAAAACACTATAACGAAGAAGTAGGGCATGTGGTATCTCTCCGCAGTAAGGGGGTGGCGTCTTTTTGGGTGAAACTTCTTGTTGCCGACTTGCTCTTAGTAATTAATTATTTAATAGTAATTTAACGATCTACCAAAATCAATTAAAAAAAAATGACGCAGACGCCATATATGCTACTAAATTTTAACTTTTCCTGTTACATGTTACGTTTACAGAATTTTAATATCTTTATACGTTCTTGAGATATAAGGTCGCGGAATTTTAACTGGGACGCCTGTGTAAATTTATATTTAATTTTTAGTTCATTGTTGGTTGGGTTTTTAAAGAAATTTCTTTCTTGTTAACTAGAAAATTTTCTTCTCAATCAAATGATTATTTTGGAAACGGTTTAATTATGGGAACGAGAGAAACTGCTGTTAGCAATCTTGAAATCGCGTCGGGAAATCTAAAGAAGGTAAAAAAACGAATGAAAAAAAAATCCAGATTGTCCGGTCTCATTGATCATTACAATATCTTTTACACGGCACAGGGCCAGTTCTGCTTACCAAAAATGACCCAGTTGGCACATTGATTCCACTTTTGCGGCTTTACTAGTTCAAGCCAGCCGGAAAATGAACCGGAACTGTAATTTTATGACCATCGTACTCGTGGAAGTATTAAAGTAAAAAACAAGATAAAAATGATAAAATTTGCATTTGGGCATAAAACAGCATACAACTGTTATTCCGGGAATTGCGATGTGAGTCGCAAAATGATACGAGCGCATCCTTTTTAGTGTCACTTAGTTTTAATAACACGCTTTACGCTGCATATGCTGCACTCCTATAGACATACTGCGCATATTACAAAACTTTCTTGAGCTTATGAACGTTTGTCTCAGCGACAGACAAAAAAAATTAAAAGTCACTTATGCCCTTACGATTGATGGGATTATGGACAATCCAGATATTCCTGAATTGTCTTGTTTCAATTTGATGTATCACATTTAAAAACTAAATAATGGTATTTGCTTGAGTTTTTAAAAGTATTGAGATTTTCTTGCAAAACAGTATTGTTACAACAAGTGGGTATGTGTGGAATCTCTCAGATTATCATGGTAAATACATATAACATGTAAATTTTGGTCTCTTTAACATAAAACGTGTTTTGGGACTTTAAAAGCAAATTGAAATTAGTATTTACTGGTGGATCCACGCTTTCATTGGGCGTTGCTCCTAAGAAACGTACCGGTCCGGCTGGAAGGTCTGTGGGAAATGAAGGACTACTGGAAGATGGTTCAGATCCAGGATGAGTATTGAACGACGCATTATCAACCAATTCTAGGGAAGGTCTTCTTACATTGGCGCGAGTACGTCCTCGAGATCCCTGAAAATTTAGTAATTTTCTATAGACTTTTTCAAGACAGTATAATTAATTCATCAAAAATTTCGTTCGGTATAAGCGATATGATAATTATCGAAAATTGTTAGCCTCATTACACGTTTATTTTGCTTCAAGGTAAAATATCCAACCTGAGTTTCGTCCGAAACATTATCAGCTTCTGTCGCAGCACTAGGTGCAGCCTCAGTAGTTGGCCTTCCTCTTCCACGACCTCGCGTTGCTTTTGTTTCCTCTTCCGGTAATGGCGTAGTGTTTAAATTTCTACTTCTTGGTGGGAATCTTGTATTAGCAGGCAATCTGTCTTCTCCAACTTCTTCTTCTCCAAGTTGCCGTCCCCTCGTTTTGCCTCTGGAAGACGGTACGACCTCGTTGGCTTCGGGTGTAGCGCTTGTCCGTTCAACAGAACCACGGTTTTTACTTGATCCTTTAGAAATCTGATTGCGTGCTGGACCGTCATGTCCGTTTGTAACTTTTTTGTCGTCTTCGTCGTCATCATAGTAATAGTACACATATTCATATTCGTATTCCTGTCCATTTGGTGCTTTCTTAATTTGTATACGAGATCTTTGCTTTTCGCTACCACTAGCAACTAAAGGAATATCATCATCGATCGTCCGTGGGGCAGCTGCTCCGGTAGTTAAAACTGGACTAAGACTAGTGACTTCAACAAATTCTTCCTTGGCTTCTTTTTTAATTCTTCTATTTCCACCACGTTTCGCACTTTTCGTTGTACTCTTTGGAGCTTGGGTTGTACTTGTTTTAAGTTCTGTTTTATATTTTTCTAAAAGTTTTTGTACGTCCAGTTTGATGGCTCCAGCTGGCGCTGGTGCTGCTGATTCGCTGGGGTTGGCTTCCCGTTTGTGGTGTTTATTTTTAGGTTGAACTTTTTCATCAAAGTCATCATGATTTAAAGCATATGTTACAGAAGGAGGAAGTTTATGTGCGGTTTCAAAGGGGCGTTCTTCATTTGCATGTTTATCTTTCCTTGCTATTGGACGAGCACCTGAACCCGTTGTTTGAACAAAGACGTACTCCTCTCCAGGTTTAGGTTGTGTGATAATGTCTTCGGCTGGATGTGGGAATGCGGAAGTTGTGACAATCCATATACAAGTAAATCTGCAATAAATGACATTATATTTGAGTATTTTATTTTTTGGTAATTATGTTGTATTTTCTTTTGGAGAAAAACTCAAGGAACTACTTTATTTCTCAATTTTTATTTAAGTGATACTGTTGATCGTAAAGATATTATTTTTTTCCGCTTTTAGGCAACTGACAAAAGAAAATTTTCAAAGTAAACATTAAAACTAATAATAATTAATTTATTGTAGCGCCATGTAACTAGTTGACTGAGCTATTAAATTAGTTCCGAACTGCTACCTGAATGGTAAATCGAGAATTTACATACAAAAAGATATATTTATGAATATTGTAAAATCGGTGGTAGCAATTCCGTTCTTACGGGGAAAATAAGATAACTTGCATTTTTAAAAGTGGATTGCCTTTTTTATTTTAATAGATAAACCAGAAATTCAATCACGTCACGTCAAAAAACTTTTGCATGAAATCAAGTTAGTTGTTTTTTCGATTAAAATGGTAACATTGGAACACTTGAAAAATTATGTTACCGGTAGTTAAATAAAATAATAAAACGGTTTCAGAAAAATTTATTGTAGGACGTAACATTTAATATTAGCTAATTTTATATAGCGATAGTTAAGACTTTGTGAAATACCGGGTGACTATTAATGATTGAAGTAAATTTTTGGGTTGGCAGCAATGTTAACATGTCAGTTTGCAGTTTTGACATCAACGCGGCTAAAAACCAATGAGAAGATGGCAGCTGCTGAAATGGTGGAAAATTTGAATTTGACATCAGGTATGTCATAATAAAATTTTAAATAGGATGTCAACAAAAAAATCACAAACATTACTAGTCACTCAGTTTTTTACGATAAATGCTTTGCAAACGAAAGTTGAAATTAACCAGTTAAAAATATCATGCTAGTAATTTTATCTTTAAAATATTTTGTGTGCCATCAATTACATCCTGTAATCACTGGGTTTCATTCTGTTAGCCAACTTTACACAATAATAATAATAAACAAAAATATCGGACAGACATATACCCATATCATTACTATTTCTTAGAAACACGTAATAAATGCAATATTTGCTAAGCTTCGAAATACTTTAGATGCGGAAAATAGATAACAACAAATATGGAAAAAAGATTATATTCATTAACAATATAGTCGTCATTAGTTGCTGGTGTGACTTACTTTGCTTCTAGGACAAATTAACTTTTATAGTACAAATGTGTAAAATGTAAATTTTGCCAAAACAAAAAATATATAGAATAATGTTTTTTTTGCATATTAATTATTAAAAAAAAAACATGTATAGAAAGGTAACAAAAACAAACTGTGTGTAATTAAAACACTTTTTCTAATGCATGTCTCAATAATACAACTTTGTACATAGTTCATTTGAACCGGACACACTTCAGTAGTAGTGGTTTCTTGCGTTCACCATATAATGGCCTCATTCTTTTTTATTTGGGAGATAATATACTTGCATATTTAGGTATTCTAAAGTGAAATGATTTTGACTGGCTTGGTTTCTTTCAAAAAAATGTCAAGGGCATACAGTGACGTTAAAAAACAGTACCCGTCCAACACAACAGTAAACGATAAACTTTCAACTTTCGATCTTTAAATTTACGAATCTCAGGGCCGGTTTTCCATTCGTTAATTAACCTTAACCGATGGTCATTTGCTAAAGAAATATTTTGCTAGACACTCATTTCAACTGATTATACCATCAGTTGTTTATTATTTAGGGTAGGCGGTAATAAGCAGACCAGACAGATATGAAAATTAATATTTGAGGGTATTATTACTGGTATTTTAAGCTTACTTCAAAACTATTATATTCTATCCAGTTTTACCATATGGAACGTGTAGAAATTTTTACTCTTTGTTTTGTTAACTAACAACAGGATAATTTATAGTATTTTTTATTATTGGTTGGTTGACGATCTTGCAAACTTAAAAAAAAAATTATGTTGATTTACCTGTCTCTTATGATTAATTTGTTGGATATTACAGGTGTTCAAAATGAATCTATGAGCTAGAACAAAATATATTTCACTTGTAGTTAATATAATATGATATAATAAACTTGGCTTTATTAATAGTAGCAGTATACTACTATGTTATTATGCTATATACTGTTATATAATCTTTAATTTTCTTCCCAGTGTTATATAATAACTGTGTAGACTAGGTTAATTTTTTTGACTTATTATTGGATACATGTATCTATTGGACAATAAATCATTAATTATTAGTATTTGCTACAGAAAGGGGGGGGGGCTGTATAAGCAAATCTAAAAAATATGAATACAATCATAAATCGCAAGTAAAAACTCATCATATGTAGAATTTATTCGGCAAAATTTTGAGATAACGTCATCAATTTTTTGGGGGAAATAAACAAATATATTTTCATTAACAATTTACCATGCTTAGAATAACTTTAAAACGGCTACAAGATTTCAAAGTATTCAGTTTTGCAATTCCTGATTTATTCAATAAAATAAATTAATTATTCATTAATTTTTTTGAATCATCTTTATAAACAAATCTAAAAAATATGATTGTAGTGATAAATCTCAAGTATAGACTGATCATATTTTGAAAAATTTTTAAGATTATGTCATCAATTTTTTGGGGTTGATAAAAAGATGTATTTGGATTAAAAAGTTACCATAATTACAATAACTTCAAAACGTCTGCAAGATTTCAAATCATTTGGTTTTGCGGTTCCTGATTTAATCAATAGGATTTATTCGGCAAAATTTTGAGTGACGTCATCCATTTTTTGGGGCTTGATAAACAGATACATTTTGATTAAAAAGTTACCATTCTTTTCACAATAACTTCAAAAAGTTTGCAAGATTTCAACGTATTTTTTTTTTTTTTTGTATAAACAAATCTAAAAAATATTACTGCAATGATAAATCACAAGTATAGACTCATTGTATTTTGCACATTTAAGATAGGAATTATTTGTAAAATTTTGAGGTGACGTCATGAATTTTTTGAGGGGATAAGCAAATACATTTTGATAAAAAAATTTCCATCCTTATAACTTTAAAACATATCCAAGATTTCAAAGCAGTCGGTTTTGCAGTTTTGATTAAATCGATAAAATAAATTCACGCAGTCAAGAGTCACCCTGTAGAATTAAATCCAAAAAAATATGAATGGAGTCAATCATCATATTTTGGGCATTTTAGATAGGATTTATTCGGCAAAATTTTGAGCTGACAATCAAATATATTTTGATTAAAAAAATGATCATGCTTATCATAACTTTAGAACATCTCCAGGATTTTAAAGTATTCGGTTTTCCAGATTCAAAATTAAATTGCAAAATGTTATTTTATAATTTTGATATTTTTCCAAAAATCTGGACGTTTCGGGTAGAGTCATAAACTACATGTGTAGGACTATGTTAGTTTATACAATTTAAAACCCATTTACTATGTACAATTTTGAAGCGATGTCATCACATTATTGGTGGGGATGATTAGACAAAATTTGGTTAGCGTTTTACCACATACATAATTTTCATAATACACACAAAATTTGATAACAACCGGTCCAGTACTTTCGGAAATTATCTGTTTAATAAAAATCCGGACAAACGGCAGACAAACGGACAGACAGACAGACAGACAGACAGACGGAAACAGGCGACCTATTTCATCGTAGTCTAGGGGCCATGAAAGGTCAAGAAAACATAAAAGTAGGGAGTCGGCCATTGGACTCGATTACAATATTTCCTCAGCTTACGCGCGAGAAGTAAAAAGCGTTTGATTGTAGATTATTTTATGCAATTACAGAAGAAAAGGAAATTACAAGATGTAGCTTCTTGTCCGATCAGAGATTTGTAAATTACTAGGAGTATGTTTTTATGTTTAAAAAATAAAATTGTTGAAGTACAACTTATCATCTACAAGGGAATCTTAAATTTTACTGTATTTCTTATTTTTACCGTCACGAAAAAGCAGCTGTTGTTAATTTTTAAATACACAAAAAATTACGTTAGAAGATGTTGAAACGAGACGTAAATTAAAAAAAAAAAATTGTGAAAGCCCAAAAACAAATGCACGGATACAACTTTGAAATTAGAAAATGTTTAACCAGCCTGTGAAATATTTTTACCATGTTGTAAAATAGCGCTTATAGTATTGTTACGTTGAACAGGTAAATAAAATCGGCGGGGATTAAACTCAACTGATTTATTTCTTCGTAACTCAAATTCACAGGACTAATTACACAACGATTATGTACAAAAATAATTCCGGCACAACTTGTCTGAATTTTCCCGACATCGACACCCGCTGGACTCGACTTGTTGGCTGAATAATAATCGTTCCCGAAGGTGGCCTCTATTTAAAGCCATACACCTTCTAGAAGTTCTGCTGTCCAGGTCTTTCTAGATTGACCATCGCGATTTCCGCTTCCAGGCTTTTCTCCGGCCGCCGTCACCACCAATGAGTCATCGGCGCCGTACATACTAGAATCCATAGGCGTCGTACCGGGGCGGTAAACGTAGCCATTTTAAGTATCGAAATAGAACGTTTAACCTAGATTGCCTCAGATAAAAGCCTAGAATACTTTTCTATTGCCAATCGAACAGACGTATTGTTTTAATTTGAAAAAATGTAGTGTATTGTATTATTATATTATACAGAGATTTACCAAAAAATATAGCCCACCTCTCAAAATTTAGGCCCCTAGCTAGCCCACCTTGATTTTAAAGTCTTGCAGCGCCACTAATTTAAGATGATATTTGTATTTCCACACACAAGTTTTTAGGTTAATTATAGATATTGCCTACAATTCATCTTTTTGCTGCAGTCAATGGTAACATGTTGATGACTGAGAGTCATTTTTAAAAAGGAAAACATAAGTGATGATTTAATAATAATAAGTCATTGCTATCACATTTTGAAATTGTAACTGTACTTAAGTTATGTTGATTTCAGTGTTATTAATATTTAAATGTTAAAAATCCGTCTTAGTGTAACAAAAATCTGTGTT